TGAGCAAAACAGAATTTTTGGCTCTACTGGTCTTGCTCTGCTGTCTACACCAGAGGGCAGTGGCACAACCATAGCTCACCGTAGCCGTGACTCCTGGGCTCAAGCAACCCTCCTGCCTCAGCTTTCCAAGTAGCTGTCACTACAGCGTGTGCCACCATGCCCAGCTATGTTTGTTTGTAGAGACGGGGTCTCCCTATGTTGCCCGGGCTAGTCTCGAACTCCTGGGCTCAAGCAATCCTCCTGCCTCAGCCTCCGAGACTGCTGGGATTACAGGCGTGAGCCACCAAGCCTGGCTGGAATTTCCTTTATTCTTTTTTTTTTTTTTTGAGATGGAATCTTGCTCTGTCGCCCAGGCTGGAGTGCAATGGCGACATCTCCACTCACTGCAAACTCCACCTCCAAGGTTCAAGCCATTCTCCTGCCTCAGCCTCCTGAGTAGCTGGGATTATAGGCACGCACCACCACACCCAGCTAATTTTTGTACTTTTAGTAGAGACGGGGTTTCACCATGTTGGTCTGGCTGGTCTCAAACTCCTGACCTCGTGATCTGCCTCCCTCACCCTCCCAAAGTGCTAAGATTACCGGCATGAGCCACCACGCTCGGCACAGAATTTCTTTATTCCTAGTAAATAGAAATATGGCAACAGACAGACTAGATGCTGTCCAATCCCATTTCTTCTTCCTAGGCAGAGAAAGACCACATTTCCCATCCTCTCTGTAGTCACATTAGAACCATATGGCTAGCCAATGAATACGTACAAACCACCACAACCTGGTTCGGCCATAAATCCCATCACAGTCATCCATTCATGCTCTCTCCCACAGACCTTGCAAGCCATGTGTAAAAGATGACAGCATCACCAACTGGAGGCTGCCTGGGCCCGAGGCACCACTTGAAGGGGAAAGGTCAAGAGTAGCCACCTGACCCATATGAGTCTATGAAATCAGCAGGAGGCCAGGCGAGGTGGCTCATGCCTATAATCCCAGCACTTTGGGAGGTCGAGGCGGGAGGATCATAAGGTCAGGAGTTCGAGACCAATCTCACCAACATGGTGAAACTATTTAAGAAGAAGAAGGAAGAAGAAAGAAGGAGAAGAAAGAAGAAAGAAGAAAAAAAGAAAGGAGGAGCAGGAGGAGGAGAAGAAATAATAACCAGCAGGAAAGAAATACTTTGTGAAGCCGCATTTTCAAACCTGTGTAGGTCTATTTCTGGGCACTCTTATTTTGTCCGATTGATTTGTATCTCTCCCTGTGCCAGTAGAATAGTGTCTTGATTACTGTAACTTTATAAAAATGCTTGATATCTGATAGGCAAGTCCAGGGTCAAGACAGGATGAACTCCTCTAGAGCAAGGGCAGTTTCTCTTTTTTTTTTTTGAGACAGAATCTCGCTCTGTTGTCCAGGCTGGAGTGCAGTGGCGTGACTTTCGCTCACGGCAACCCCTGCCTCCTGGGTTCAACCTCTGCCTCCTGGGTTCTCCTGTCTCGGCCTCCTGAGTACCTGGACCACAGGCACCCACACCATGCCCGGCTAATTTCTGTGTTTTTTTTCTCTGTAGAGATAAGGTTTCACTATGCTGCCCAGGCTGGTCTCAAACTCCTGACCTCAAGTGATCTGACTGCCTTAGCCTCCCCCAAAATGCTGGGATTACAGGCATGAGCCACTAGGCCCGGCCCTCATTTCTTAACACTGCGCTCAGTAGGAGTGCAACAGTCATTTATATGTGAATAAATGAAGCCGAAAGAGGAAGTTAGAAAGACCATAGGAAAAAGCAGACAAGAAGGGAAAAAGGAGCACCCCTCCCCTCTCCAGGAGACGGCTGCTCGCCCAGGGACGCAGAGCCGGAAAGCCCAAGGCAGAGTGGGAGGAGGTAGGGAAGGAGTTTCAAGCTAGACTCCTATTCTCTCCCTCCACCCCCTCCCTTCCCTCAAAAAGAGAAAATGACACGAGGCTTTGGAACCAAGAGCTGGAGGAAACTGGAGGCAAAAGCTGAGGCTGTCAGCTGCCCAGCAGTTCACACCGAGATCATCTTCCCACTTCCAACACCCACAGAAGCTGCCTGCCAAGGGCCCCCAGTGTCCCCACATGGCCCACCTCAGCAGCACGACACAGCACTGGGGAAGTGACAGAATGTAACAAAAAAAAAAACTATTAAGCTGTTTTAAAATTCCACCTCCCCAGCAGCATCTGGTTGCCACAGCAACCCCAGCTCTGCAGGGTGTCTCGATTACCAGCAGACTCCCTCCACCTGTCCCAGGCCGAGAGCAGGCGGCTGCCGCCAAGGGGAACACCAAGGAAGAGCCCATGCTCTGATTTCTTTTTTTTGAGACGGAGTTTCGCTGTTGTTACCCAGACTGGAGTGCAATGGCGCGATCTCGGCTCACTGCAACCTTCGCCTCCTGGGTTCAAGCAATTCTCCTGCCTCAGCCTCCTGAGTAGCTGGGACTACAGGTGCGCGCCACCATACCCAGCTAATTTTTGTATTTTTAGTAGAGACAGGGTTTCACCTTGTTGACCAGGATGGTCTCAATCTCTTGACCTCGTGATCCACCCGCCTCGGCCTCCCAAAGTGCTTGGATTATAGGCGTGAGCCACCGCGCCCGGCCCATTCTCTGATTCTAAGGTAATGGCTCAGACCCAAGGTGATTTTATCTGTTCAATGTGAACACCTGATGAAGTTTTGCCCCATGTTAATAATTTCATTAAAAATGTGGCCTTATGTCCTATCGGATGCACTCAGTCTTTTTTATCATTCACTTGGCTTCATCAAAACACAAAAAGAGAACATTTTCATTCATTTTGGGATTGAGCAAATGACGGCAGCTGGATGTGAATTTTGGTTCCAGGGTTTAGACAAAGCCCCCAAGGGACATGATTGGAATCAGAGCTGAGTGGCTGGCCCTGATCTCTAGATTTGCTAAGTCATGTGGTAGGACACTTGCTCTTTTGCACCCAGCCTGAAATAGCTTGTGATATCTTTAGGGAACCCAAACAAGTAAGAAATAGGGGGCTGGGTACCATGGCTTATGCCCGTTATCCCAACACGTTGGGAGGCTGAGGCAGGGGTGTCACTTGAGCCCAGGAGTTCCAGACCAGCCTGGATGACATAACAAGTTCCTGTTTCAATAAAAAATTACAGGCCAGGCACGGGGGCTCACACCTGTAATCCCAGCACTTTGGGAAGCTGTGGCAGGAAGACTGCTTGAGTCCAGGAGTTTAAGACCAGCTGGGTCAACATAGCGCGACATCATCTCAAAATATTGTAAATAAATAAAAGAAAAAATGGTTACAAAAAATTAGTTGGGCATGACGGCACTCGCCTGTAGTCCCAGCTATTCAGGAGGCTGAGGCAAGAGAATCGCTTGAATCCAGAAGGCGGAGAGTGCAGTGAGCCAAGATGGCAGCACCGCACTCCAGCCTGGGCGACAGAGCAAGACTCTGTCACACTAAAAAAAAAGAATGAATAGTTTCTGACTTTGTGCCCTCATTTCTGAAAATGGCACAGGTAAGAATTCTCTCTCCATGAGGGGCTCTGTGAGGCTCTAATGGAGTAGGAATGGATGATGCCAGTTTCAAAATGCTTTGGAAAATGCTGACCACCATGCAAATATGAGCCAGCAAGACCGTCCCAGCCAACGGCTCAGATGGCCTTCACCAAGGTGCTTCGGAGGCCAGAGCCTGCTGCACCTCTCAGAGCCCTGCATCATGTCTTGGAGCAGCTGCTCCAGGTGCAGCCCAGATGAGCTCTCAAGTCAGACAGGTCGACAGGTCACCTCACCACACAGATTTATGGAATCACCCAGCTCAGTGCCTTGGTGCTGTTGGCACCACAAGGCACCTGCCAGGCACGCACTCCGTGAGCCTCTCACACACAACCCAAATTTTGTTTGAGCAATAACATGCAGGTTCCTGCTTGTCCCTGGGGATGTCTGTGTGACCCCCTCATCATCACCTGCAGAACTGGAGGACAGAAGGGGGCACTCCTGGAAATAAGCTCCACGAGCTCTGCTCTGGGCCCTTCCCTCCCTCCCCCTCCTAGTGGAGCCGAGGGACTTGCATGTGTAAGGGGGCCACCTTGCCACCGGACAATGGACAGGTGCTAAGGATGGTGAGGTGGGCACTGAATCCTGCAGGATAGCCTGGCGCTGCTCCCAGCGCTGACGTGCCACCTCTGACCTGCCCATCACTTAGAAAAATAACCTCTTGTTGGGTCAAGCCAACAATCAAACTTGTTAGAGGCCAGGTGCAGTAGCTCATGCCTGCAATCCCAGCACTTGGGGAAGCCAAGGCGGAAGGGTCACTTCTTGATGCCAGTTCGAGACCCGTCTGAGCAACACAGCGAAACCCTGTCTCTACCAAAAATACAGAAAAAAAAAAATTAGCCAAGCACGGTGGCGTGTGCCTGTAGTGCCAGCTATTCAGGAGGCTGAGGTGGGAGAATTGCTAGAACCAGGAGGTTCAAGTGAGCTATGACCACTCCACTGCGCTCCAACCTGGGTGACAGAGCGAGACTCTATCACCAAAACCTAAAAAAAGGATGAGGAAAGGAGACATCAGCTGTGTCAAATGCAAATGGCCACTGGAGTAAAGCAAGGTCAAGAACTGTCTGAAGATCTGCAGACGCTGAGGCCACCAGTGACACAGACGAATGAAGAAATGAAGTTGGTTACTCCTAGAGGAAGGGAGGCAAGCAGCAGCACACGTTTTCCAGAGTCACTGCAGGAAGAGCTGCTTCCTTCAGAACAAAGCAGTGACAAGATCCTTCTTTTCCACACTAGGGAAGCTGCTAAGTGTATGCCAGAGCCAGGCATAACTCATTCCTGGACAGCCTCAGGCTCCACAGCCCAGAATGGGCGTGGGCTTGCAGGCGGGAGGTAGGTAAGGAGACATGGGCCCCTCCTGGAGCTGAAATGCCACCCACCTCCCAGCCCCCAGGCCGCCCAGCACCACTCCCTCCCTCTCCTCCGCCCACAAAACTTTGAGTGCACTCCAGACAGAGCTTCACAAGAGAGGGCATCATGACTATTTATTATGATTATTTTAATTTAAAAAAATAAGCCCCAAATATCTGGGTAATAAACTACCATAAAAAGTAGCATCTGGTGTCAGATACTCTGCCGACCGGGAGCACTCCTTCAGTGCTGGCGAAGGCTCTGCAGAGTCGTCCACAGTATTCCACACTGCTCCCCCTTTCCAGAAGTCCCTACTGAAATGAGAAGGACACTGAGGCACACCGGTGAAGAGACTGGCCTGGGGTTAGACTGCCAGGAGAGGCACATGTGAACTGGGCCCAGAAAATTCCAACAGTTCCATAGAGAATGCTACCCAGCAGGGAAAAAGAGCCATGTCTTCTTCCAAGTGACCAGTAACACCACACTCTTGAAGCAGCAGAAAGGGTGGCAAGGGAACCAAGCCCTGACCTGAGCCCAGTGATGGGCCAGAGCCCAGCCAAAGGGCCTCATCCGCAGGTCCAGGCTCACCCCTCACCTTCACCACACTGCCCTCATTCCAAAGCCCAGCCCTCCTTGCGGAAGACCAGCTGCACAGCCTCATTCACATCCTTCACCACGTGGGAGGCCTCCATGAGCCCTGAACTGAAGGAGAAGTCTCGGTGCCCGTGGAACGGAGGCTCCTCTCCTCCAAGCACAGGCTCCGTGGACTGCGGGTCCCTGGGATTGTACACGCCCGTGCACACCAGGATGGAGGTGCAGCTCCGGCTTGCTGAGGGCTGCTGCTGCCGTGGGCCCCCAGCCCCTAGTTCTGGCGCCCTGTCGCGTGTCGTCTTCTGCAGGTACTGGTGGAACAGGTTGGCACCGTACACGTCAGACATAGGGTTATCCCTGGCAGGGGCAGCCACACCGGAAAGGAAAAAGAAGAAAGCCCTAACTCAGTGTTGCAAAGCAAAGGGAGCAGAGGAGAGTTTCAGGGCAGAAGAGTGAATCAGATACAGGGAAACGGGGGTGAGAGAAGAGAGGGAGGGAAGGGGACGTTGTGAAAGGGATGGAGGAGGGGAAGTAGAGCCTACCCCACAGCATAGAGCTTCTGGATGGGGGCGGCCCAGCCTCGCCTCTCCGCCTGTCGCCTGAGCAGCTCCTCTGCGTACTGGTAAGTGAGGATGCTGGGTTTGCCCATCAGGCCCTCGTATCTCAGCTCCTTGCCCGTCACTTTCTGGTAAATGGTTTCCAGGCACAGCAGAAAGGTGCCGTGGCCAAACCTGCCAGGAACGACCACGAAGCAGTTCAGTCTTCCTGATCCCTGGGCCCTTCTAGAGAATACAACTGCCATTCTCTAAGCAGCACCCACGCAGACTGGCCTCTCCCGGAGTGAGAGCTGGCACTGGAGGTGGCATTTCACATTTCCCTCTCAGAAAACTCCTAAGAGAGGACACCAGCATCCTCATTTTACAAATGAGGAAACTGAGGCACAGCAAGATTCAGTAATGTGTTCAAGATGGCAGAGCCAGTACTGCAACTCGGTCTGATTCCAGAGCTTAAATCCTGCTGTAGAGCTGGGCAGACGACGGTTGCCCTTCTCCCCTTCTTTGCTGGTGTCTGCTTCAGCTGACCATATTACTACTAGGTGTGAAAAAGACCTTCCCTTGCCTCCCTTGTAACGAGGCATGGCTATGTGATTAAGCTACAGTCAAGAAACGCACAAATGCTGGGCTACATTTTTTCCTTTTTTTGAGGCGGAGTCTCACTCTGTCACCAGGCTGTAGTGCAGTGGCACAATCTCGGCTCACTGCAACCTCCGCCTCCCAGGTCCAAGTGATTCCCCTGCCTCAGCCTCCCGAGTAACTGCGATTACAGGCATGTACCACCACGCCCGGTTAACTTTTTGTATTTTAGTAGAGACAGGGTTTCTCAATCTCCTGACCTCGTGATCTGCCCGCCTCAGCCTCCCAAAGTTACAGGAGTGAGCCACTGTGCCTGGCCTGGGCTAAACTTTTAACAAGCAGCCTTAAAATAAGGGACAGGGGACAGGAAAGGTGGCTCAGGCCTGTAATCCCAGCACTTTGGGAGGCCGAGGCAGGTGGATCACCTGAAGTCACGAGTTCAAGACAAGCCTGACCAACATGGTGAAACCCCGTCTTGAAAAAAAATTAATTAATTAATTTAGAAAACTGAAATCTACCCCTTGCTTTTCAGTTCACAGCGACATAACCAACCAAGCGCACTGGTGTAGTGTCAGCATACCCTCCCCTAGGAATAATACTTCAGGGACAATGCCAAGCATCGAGCAACAGAAACATACTTTAAAAGTGACAAGAGCACCCCCCATCTCTCTGGGGCTACTGAGATCCCTTGAGGCAGCACTGGTGTGCCCACCCTCTGCTGATGAGCGCTCACAAGGCTGACAGGAGGTGAGCAGCAGGCTGAGACTCAAGAGTCGGCCCTTGCGGATAACAGCAGCGAACCCGTACACAGCAGCTGTCAGCTGGACTCCGAGTAAGCATCATGAGGGCCAAAAAAGGGCCGCCTGTACTTGTGCTAGCTAGCTGAAGAGTAAGACAGGACAGACAACACCAACACAGCTGAGCGGGGAGTGCAGGCACCTGCAAGGCCCTGAGAAAGCCACTTATCCTCTGCGTCTCAGCTCTCTGGTCTAGACAGCCATCAGAACAATCCTTGCCCGGCGTATGGTACACACCTGTAATCCCAGCAGTTGGGGAGGCTGAGGCAGAGGCAGAGGGATCACTTGAGGCCAGGAGTTCAAGGCTGTAGTAAGTTCTGATTGCACCACTGCACTCCAGCCCGGATGAGACAGTGAGACCCCGTCTCCCACAAACAAGACGAATCCTTGCTTCCCCTGCCCTCTGTCTTAAGGGCGCAAGGAAGCAAGAAAGTGAAAGAACCAAATGCTACAGGGTGGAGCCAAGGAAGGAAGAGCAACTGAATAATGTGCACTGATACGGCACAAAAGGTGTCCATGGTTTGGGTTCCGCTAGACGCGAGGAGTGTGTTCTGTTAAGATTACCGGGGGAGGGGGCACGTGTGAAACATCCTCTCCTCAGACTCCGTCATCTGTAGTTTAGGTTTAGTAACTAACATGTGAGGTGATCCTTCAAAGCCCAGGTCATTGCAGCAACGGGGCCTATCTAAGTCAGGTCCAACTACCCTGGGTGTCAGAATGATGGGTGGGAACTGCTCGCAGGACAGTCCAAGCAGCAGCCAGGAGTGGGCCACCAGGCCAAGGCCGGAGCTTTGTGTCCTCACCTGGGCATCTTGGCTTCGGCCATCCACAGGAGATCCACGTTGCTAGCCAGGACAGGGAGGTGGGGGTAGGGGGCTGTTGCCAGGCGAGTCCCAGGGCTCCCATTGCTAAGGAGGACATCCATGATCAGCTGCAGGCTGGTCTCCCAGCGGACCGGCTCCCCTAGGAGGAGTACCCCTTTAAAGAACAGAGGCACAGGTGAGGGCTGCAGGGCAGGAGGCAGGCCCTTAGGATGTCAGCTAGGGTGACCCACCCACACGCCCTCCACCCACAGTGTGCCCAGCTGGGCAGGGGCACAGCTCCCCAACAAGCCTAGAAGAGCCCCTTATCCATCCACCCTGGGTGCACAAGGCCCAGGGCCTAGGAAGAAGCTTCCTGAGGGCTCCCATTCTAACTTTAGTCCACTGGTACTTCGCAGAAGAGGTTACGAAACAAAACCAGCAGGCCAGGCACAGTGGCTCACACCTGCAATCCCAGCACTTTGGGAGGCTGAGGCATGTGGATCACCTGAGGTCAGGAGTTCAGGACCAGCCTGGCCAACATGGTGAAATCCTATCTCTACTAAAAATACAAAAATTAGCTGGGTGTGATGGCGGGTGCCTGTAATCCCAGCTATTCGGGGGCTGAAACAGGAGAATTGCTTGAACCCGGGAGGCAGAGTTTGCAGTGAGCCAAAATCGCACCACTGCCCTCCAGCCTGGGTGGCAAGAGCAAAACTCCGTCTAAAAAAAAAAAAAAAAAAGAGCTATACCATCAGTAAACAGTCCAGGACTAGACACAGTAAGCACTGGGCAAAGGATACTGCTGACACTAAGCTACAGGGCCAGTGAACTGCACCGGACCAGGGATTCTCAATGGGGCAGCACCGCCCCTTATGAGATGCTTTAGAAATCAGAGGCAATTTTTAATTGTCATGATGACTAAGACCGAGCCAGTGAAGGTTGTGGAAGGGGGACCAGGGATGCCACCTACTCAGGACAGTCCTGCACAATCACAACCTGTCCCACATTAAAATTAACATTAGTTTTTTAAAAAACTGTCCCATGTCTGCATGCGGTGGCTCATGTCTGTAAAAGCACTTTAGGAGGGAGACCAAGATGGGAGGATCAATTGAGCCCAGGAGTTTGAGGCCAGCCTGAGCAACATAGTGAGATCCTGTCAAAAAAAAAAAAGAAAAGAAAAGAAAAAACTTTCCCATGTCCTACTACCATCTGAATGTCCCACCTGATATCCTGATACCCGCATAGGTGAACCCCCTTTTCAGAATGACTTGAACTATTTCACATATAATCACAAAGCATTTTTTGTACAGTTTCAATAAGCATCAATTTTCCAAAAATACAACTATCGTATAAATCAAGAGAAGACTGTACTTTGCTTTTTCAAAACTACCGAGAGTTGTTCCCCAGTTTGGAAAATTACTTGACCAATGGCAATGCTGCCCCTAATTTCTGAATCACCAGTAGGACACACCTGTCACACCTGTAAACACACTTGCACTAGCCTGTATTTGTGGCTGTAACATTCATGGTGATTCTATGATTACCTACTGCATACATTATTATCTTCTTACTAGACAGGTTTCCTTTACATCCCCCTATTACGGTTACGGCTTTACACTGAACTAACTAATTTTTAATATTGTGTGTATAGAAGTTGTATTACCTGTGAATTTCACGTCAGGATAATAAAGGTGATATTCCAATGTTCTTACAAAAGGGAGAACTGGGTTTAAAAGTAGAGAAATACTAGACTAGATCACCTCCAGGGGCCTTTCCAGCCTCAGATTCTCTAAGCTTCCAGTTTTCCTGGAATAGTGAGTGGCACAGGATAGGAAAGACTGACAGTCTCGGAGACGGTGAGTAGCAGAACCAGACCAGACCAGGCCCCAGGTATCCTGTCTCCAAGGCCCCCTCGCTGCAGGCAGTCACACTGAAACAGCCTGAGGGCCAGAAAGGAGAGCGAGGAAAGACCTCACAATTCATAGAAGAGGACTTCTCTTACCTTCAATCGGGGGGAAGTCATTCCTTGGGAGGGTCTGCAGAGACAAAGGAGAGGCTGTCAACACAAGTCACCTTCCATTCCTAGAGAACCACACCCTCACCTCCAGGGCGCTGGGAGGGGAGGGGAGACACACTCCACAGATTCCCATGCCCACTGTCAAGCCCAAGCCAAGGGAGAGCTAGAGAGGACTGAGAAAGATGCAGAGAAAGGAGCAAAGACAACGGCCCGGCAGGCCACAGAACAGGTGGGATACCGCACGTGAAGTCACCAGGAGGAAGGGGTCAGCTGTCTTTCTCCGGTGGGAGAGGACACAAGATACAGCCAAGCAAGGCTCTAGAATCAGGCAGCTAAGGATGCAAGTGCATCAGGGCCTGATGGGCCGTTTCTCCTCCTGTCGGTTCTCGAGCAGGCAGCTTCACTCGACCAGCCTCAAGGGTCCATTCCATCTCCAGGTCATTTAAGGCTTGGCTCTGCCACTAACCAACTTTGTGACCCGAGGCAGGTCACTCCCCTGTGTTGGGGCCGTCTCTGAACTATTCTGAGATCTGTTCCAACTCTGACATTCTGGTTCTCCAGAGAACTTGCACAGGTCAGGGAGAAAGCCCTCACAGGGGAGGAAGTGCTCTGTTCCATCAGAAAGCTCTGGAGGAGGAAGGACTTAAGCTCTATCAACAAATAAAAGTCAGTTATCTGTTTATAACTGCATGCCGTCACACTGTGAGAGTGGTCTGACTTCAGACCTGGGCTAAGTGATACGTAGACAGTGTGACCAGGAAGTGAGCCAGCAGGCATCTCAAGAGATGGCAGTCACACTGCAGAGGATCCCCAGGGGATCAGAAGAGAGACAGGGGACAATGCCAGTGATCAAAACTGAGCCCTGCACGCAGGGCACCTAGGCAGGTGTGCAGACTGGCCAGTGCTCCCTATGCAAGCACCTCTCCCAAGGGCAGCTCGGAACCGGGCCACAGGATAGCTCACCTCGCAATGGCCAGCGGCTCTCCTGGGCAGCACTGGGAAGGCCAGGAGCAAGTCTGGAACTGCTTGTTGGAAGGGATGCTGGGGCTCTGAAAGGGGTTCCCAGCTAATTACAAACAATGCAGAGGACAGGGCGTCAAGCCTGGCACTTCTCTGGGCTATTTTCTTTTTCTTTCTTTCTTTTTGAGAGAGTCTCACTCAGTGGCCAAGGCTGGAGCGCAGTGATGTGATCAGAGCTCACTGCAGCCACCAATTTCTGGGCTTCAGCAACCCCCCTGCCAGCTGCCTCCTGAGTAGCTGGGACAATCGGCATGTGCCACCATACCTGGCTCATTTTCTTTCTTTGAGACAGTCTCACTCTGTCGCCCAGGCTGAAGTGCAATGGCACAATCTTGGCTCACTGCAACCTCTGCCTCCCGGGTTCAAGCGATTCTCCTGCCTCAGCCTCCCGAATAGCTGGGATTACAGGCGTCTACCACCATATCCAGCTAATTTTTGTATTTTTAGTAGAGACGGGGTTTCGCCATGTTGGCCAGGCTCATCTGAACTTCCAACCTCAGGAGATCTGCCCACCTTGGCCTCCCAAAGTGCTGGGATTACAGGCAGGAGCCACTGCACCTGGCCAATTATTTTTATGTTGCCCAGGCTGGTCTTCAACTCCTGGGCTCAACCAGTCCTCCAGTTTCAACCTCCCAAAGCACTGGGACTATAGGTGTGAGCCACCACGTCCAGCCTCTGAGCCATTCTCATAAATCCAGGGAACAAAACCCCTAGCCAGATGTGCCTCCAAGGAGGCAACAGACACGCAGAAGCAGACAAAACACAGCTCTGCAGAAGGGCTTCCAAGGAGAGTGACAGAGCCAATGCAGGACACTGGAGGTCTACAGATGACACAGCCCAACCTGTGCCCCTCATTACCGTGGTCTTCGGCCGCCGCTCCAGGTCCACCATGTCAAGCAGGGGGAAGGCCATCCGGAGCTCGTCCATGGTAACAACATTCCGGAAGCCCAGTCTGGAGCAAGCTCAGGGAAGTAATGCTGGACAGTTCTGGGGGAAGATGCCTTTCCGAATGCATCAAGTCACAAGTGAAGGGAACACAACCCAGTCCTGATCAAGCCAGGCAGGAGGGCAGCAAGCAGAGCCCAGCAAGGATGGCACAAATCCTGCAGGTGCTGGCAGGCAGGCTGCAACTGCACAGGTAAAGAGGGCAGCTCCTGGGCAACCCACCAAGTCACCAGGCACATGCCAGGTACCAGGTCCTATGCTGGGCACAGCCCAGAGGGCAAAAGCACTTAAGAATCTCTGTCCCCAGCTGAGTGCAATGGCTCACACCTGAAATCCCAGCACTTTGGGAGGCTGAGGCAGGAGAACTGCTTGAGCCCAGGAGTTCCATGTCATTCTAGGCAACATAGTGAGACCCTGTCTCTACAAATAAAACAGTCAGCTACACATGGTGGCATACACCTATACTCTATTCAGGAGGCTCCTCAAGAGGCTGGAGCAGGAGATCACTTGAGCCCAGGAGGTCAAGGCTACAGTGAGCTATGACTGCGCCACTGCACCCTAGCCTGGGTAACAGAGTGAGACCCTTTCTCAAAAAAGAAAAGAAAAAACTGTCCCCAAGGATCCCAGCACATTCAGAGCCCATCAAAACCAGTGTTCTGAGAACAGTGCTGCCAGCCAGTGCTGAGTTCAGAAGAGACTCCTCAGCGGGCTGGGGAGTCCGGTGGAGGGAGGAGGGCTGGAGCTAAAATCTTAGAGGATGAACCCAAATCAGTAAGGAAGAAGAGGCCCTGGGGAGGCACAAGCCAGCTTCAGCCTGTCTCCTCTAAGATCTGCCCCCATCTTCCCGTCCTCAATTCCAACTCGCAGTCTTCACTGGACGTGGTTTCAGACTACCCTCAAAATGAATTTCCCAAAAATCCTGATTCTATCAGATTGCCCCATCAGCAATAAAGCCTGCCCTGCCCTCCACGGCCCTGAGAGGCTGGTCAGACTCCTCAAGTTTACTTCCAAGGTTCCCGACACCCTGGCACCACCCTTCCTGTTCTCATTCCTCTCCCTATCCCATTCCAACCTCCTCCTTCCCCTGCCTGGGAAACCTTAGCCATCTGCGGGGGCTCCACTGTACCCCTCCAAGAAGCCAAGGCAATTCCTGCCCCAGGGATGCTCCACTGCCCGCCCCCCCCACCTGTGGCCACTCCTGTGGGCTTCTGAGCCTTTCATCGCACACCTTGGTAAACGCGCCTTTACTGCTCACGGTGTTATTCTTGCCTCCTCAGGCACAAGCCCCCAATTCACTCGTAAGCCCCACGCCTCATCCTGGTCCTTGTCCTGTTCAGTGTGTGGCAGACCACCGGTACACAGGACAGGCTCAGCACGACTCAGCTGCTTGAGAACAGGGGCCAGGTATTCTGCAGGCTCCCAAAGACAAGCTCCCTGTAACTGCTTCACTGCCACTGGCTGGTACGCTGACTGGGCACCCCAACCAAGAGACTAGGGAAGGGGTTCCGAAACCTCGTTACAGAACCACTAGGAGAGATATTTGGTTGTTTTTTTTTTTAAATACAGATTCCTGAGTTTTACCCTAGACCTGGTCAACCAAGGCTCCAGTGCAGATACCCCGGAATCTGCGTTTTACGCTCCCCAAAGGGTTCTGATGCAGGGGTAAGACTGGCTTTTGGAAACCACCAGGCATGACTGGCCACACCCAGGAGCTGTCCTCCCTCCCCTGAGCCCGCAGCATCACCCGTGCACCCCAGCGCCCAGCATCCCTCACTACAGTCCCTACTCAGCTAAGGGGGGAAAGGCTCCAGCCCTGCCCCTTCCCTTCAGCCAGAGTAAGACCAAAAGGATACCCCCGGGCATTTTCCACCACAGGCCCCTGCCCAGACACCAGCATCCGCTTCTCGTGGTACTTTGAGAAGAGCTTCATGGGGCTGTGAGAGAGGATAACTTGGTCTGCATCCACCTGTAGGGACAGCCAGGACAGGGGAGGGAAGAGGAAGACAGAACCGTTGAGGGAAATAATGAGACAGGTGACAGACCCTTTAGCCTAGGGAAGGGAAAACCCGCTCAGAAAAAGAACGGACACTGCCCTCTCTAGCACCCAGCAGCACTTCTAAAATGCACCCCACCAGATGTGAGAAGAACCCGGCTTATTTGGTTCTTGCCACACAAAACAAGAGACCAGAAATGCCACAGATATGGGTTCTGGCCACTTGCCACCCTGTCAGGTTCAGCTAGATTTCCCAGGCCCCCACCTAGAAGCCACAGGGCTCACGTGTGCTCCCTGTCACTGTCACAGAAGTCGGTCTTTCACTTTCTATTTTCAGTTCTGCTTAAAGACTTTCACTTCTTAACATTTATACTAACCCTAACAATACAGCCTTTACTTAAAAGGTTTCTGGAATTCTCTCTGGAAACCACAGCAAGGAACCAATTTTATGCTCTCACATTTTACATGCAACTCTGAGCAGCATCTCATCAATCAGCCATTTTATTTACCCTCCTGGTTCCAAAGGACTCCTTCCCAAGCTGAATTCGCCCTCAACAAACAAGAATGCATCCAAGTTGGGATACGGTGCAGGGCTGCAGGTGACTGAAGGGGACAGCACTCCTTCAGGTGCACACATCCTATTCAGGAAAGCCAAGGTGTGACCAGATTTACACCTGCTATACCTGCTATGCAGAGCTCTAGATGTGTGTGTGGCCTTAGCTTTCCAGGGACTCACATCCTAAATGCCCAAAAGAAAAGAAAAGGATACAAGGACATCAACTGAAACTGCCAAACACATAGGCAGGATTTCTGTGTTCTGCGGGGGCCATGACCTAGGGCCAGGGAAAGGGGCATGGAGCTGGGGCAGAAGCTCCATCAGGAACCATGTCCCTGGGCTTCTATGCCTCTGGCTGCCTTCTCACCTTGCACCCCAGCAGGGCTGACAGCTCCCGGGCTTTGCTATGTTGTAAGATGTTCCCAGCATTTGTGACAAAAACCACAGGCACCCGCAGCTGCCCCTGGGAGTTCACCAGCCTTCGGAAGGCTTCCAGAGCAGCAGGGATCACTCTGTGGCCCCGCACAAGCACTCCATCGATGTCCAACAGGAACCCAAAGGTGGGCGGGCTCTGCAGAGATGGTAAGATAATCACCACCACATGAGTCAAGAGGCAGGAGGAGGACAAAGAAACAAGCCTTACAGAGAGAGGCTCAACGCCACCCTCAGGTCACTGACGGCTCTTGAAAACCTATGTCAGAAAGAACAACAAAATGAAGACAACGGATTCTGACAGGGTAAAATCCATCTATAACAAGAATTATTCCGTTTCCATGTTTTTCTAAGCACGTAACTACAGTGTTCAATTATTTTTGCGTAAATAAGAAGGCAATTTTTTTTTGTTTTTGAGATAAGACCTCACTCTGTTGCCCAGGCTGGAGTGCAGTGCTGAAATCTTGCCTCACTACAACCTTCCCGAGCTCAAGCGATCCTCCCAGCTCAGCCTCCAGAGTAGCGTGGACCACAGGCACCACCGCCTCGCCCAGCTAATCTTTTGTATTTAGTAAAGATGAGGTTTCGCCATGTTGCATGGGCTATTCTCAAACTCCTGGGCTCAAGGAACCCGACCACATTGGCTTTCCAAAGTGCTAAGATTACAGGCATGAGCCACCACACCCAGCCTAAGCAATTTTTAAATTAGAAAATAAAGAAATCCAAAGAAAATAGAATCCCAACACTTTTTAAATTATTTATTTTTACAGACAGTCTTCCTGTCACCCACACTGGAGTACAGTGGCCTGATCATGGCTCACGACCCCCTGGGCTCAAGGGATCCTCCCACCTCAGCTTCCCAAAGCGGTGGGGTTATTAGGCGTGAGCCACCAAGTCCAGCCTAGTCCCAACACTTTAAAACAACCAATTAATAGTTTCCTTTTTTTCTCTGTTCTTATATTTGTCTTGTAGCTACAACTATGCCATATGTAATTTTGCATCATCTTGTTCTTTTTTGCTTGACAGGTCATAAATATTTTTATGGATTACAATAGCCTTTATAACAATCTTTGAAGATTTTATTGCCGGGCACAGTGGCTCAAGCCTGTAATCCCAGCACTTTGGGAGGCCGAGGCGGGTGGATCATGAGGTCAAGAGATCAAGACCATCCCGGTCAACATGGTAAAACCCCATCTCTACTAAAAATACAAAAAATTAGCTGGGCATGGTGGCGCGTGCCTGTAATCCCAGCTACTCAGGAGGCTGAGGCAGGAGAATTGCCTGAACCCAGGAGGTGGAGGTTGCAGTGAGCTGAGATCGCGCCATTGCATTCCAGCCTGGGTAACAACAGCGAAACTCCGTCTGAAGAAAAAAAAAGATTTTATTATAGCAAAAAGTTTTTTAAAAAAACCTCAGTCACTACAGACAATATAAAAATGATACAAAATTTCTTGTCTCCATCTTACCTAGTCCTATTCTCTCTCTGTTTTCCAGAAGCCTTTTATAAATCTATAGTATACACACCTTTTTAATCTTAACACACACACAGAATCATGTTACTTTGTTATTTGGTATCTCTTGGCTTTTTCTTTTTCTTTTTTTTTTTTTGAGACAGAGTCTTGCTCTGTCACCCAGGCTGGAGTGCAGTGGCGTGATCTCAGCTCACTGCAACCTCTGCCTCCCGGGTTCAAGTGATTCTCCTGCCTCAGCCTCCCGAATAGCTGGGATTACAGGTGTGCGCTACCACGTCTGGCTAATATTTGTATTTTTAGTGGAGACAGGTTTCTGCCATGTTGACCAGGCTGGTCTGGAACTTTTGACTTTAGGTGATCTGCCTGCTTCAGCCTCCCAAGGTGCTGGAATCACAGGCTTGAGCCACTGTGCCCCAACTCAATTTTTCCATATTAATCATGCCTAGCTCTGTTTCCTAAGCATCATTTCTGGCTACACGCTATTCTGAGTGAAGAATTCACTAACATTATTCCCTATATTTTGGACAGTTAGGATTTTCTACATTTTTGCCCCATGAAAAATAATGCTACAAGGAGCCTCTTCATGAATACTGATTTTTCCCATGTTATAAATATTTCCTTGAGCTAGATTCTTAAAAGGAGTAGTAAATCAGAGAGCACAAATGTAATTACCCAAACACCTACTGACAAACTGTTGTCCAAAAACATGTATCAACTTACACGTCCACTGGCAATGTACTTTACCTTACAACATCCATTTCCACGAGAATCTGTCAGTTATCCAACTTTTTGTTAATTTAAAGGTAAAAAAAAATTATCTCTTCTCTATCTACATTTCCTGGATTTATGAAGTTGAATGCTCTTTTTAAAAATCATTCCACTTCTCTTTTTATAAACTGTTAACATACAAGATGTTCTTCAGTCGTCAAAAAAACTAACCTAACTTGCTTGCTATTTTTCTTTCCTTGGTGCCAAGTAGGTCAAAACATTCTTTTTTTTTGAGACAGAGTTTCCCTCTTGTTACCCAGGCTGGAGTGCAATGGCACAATCCCAGCTCACTGCAATCTCTGTCTCCCAGGTTCAAGGGATTCTCCTATCTCAGCCTCCCAAGTAGCTGGGACTACAGGCATGTGCTACCATGCCTGGCTAATTTTAAAAATTAGAGACAGGGTTTCTCCATGTTGGTAAAGCTGGTCTCGAACTCCCCACCTCAGGTCATCTGCCCGCCAAGGCCTCCCAAAACGATGGGATTACAGGCGTGAGCCACCGAGGCCGGCCCTAAGTCAAGTCATTCGTATTGACACACCTACTCTATGCACAGAGCTCCCTTTATAAAGAGCGATGTGAATCAGAAATGGTGCTCCAGGCCAGCTGCGGTAGCTCACGCCTATAATCCCAGCGCTTCAGGAGCCTGAGGAGGGCGGATCACTTGAGGTGAGGAGTTCAAGACCAGGCTGGCCAACATGGCGAAACCCTGTCTCTACTAAAAATGCAAAAATCAGCCAGGCATGATGGCAGGCGCCTGTCATCCCAGCTACTTGGGAGGCTGAGGAAGGAGAATCACTTGACCCTGGGAGGCGGAGGCTGCAGTGAGCCAAGATCATGCCATTGCACTCTAGCCTGGGTGACAAAGCTAGACTCCGTCTCAAAAAAAACCAGCACTCCAGTCCCTCGTTTCTTAGCGAGTGTGACAGAGCAAACAACCAGTCTAGGAAGCAAACTCTCTCAAAGGGCAGCATTTTGCAAGTACAAATCAATTCTAGGTAAGTTCTAAATAAACAAACAGAATTAAACAGAAGCAGTTTCTTAAAAGAGAATTTTGAGCTGGGCAATGAACGTGTTAAACACATCCTGTAACAAAACTCTTTGCGCCCGCACCCATGCCAGACGAGATGAGTGCTTCCTGCCTGGCTCCGTCAATGAGAAGACAATGAAAAGGCAGCCCAGGCCGGTCCACAGGGAGCCCTGCACTAAGAGCTGAGCCCACACCAGGGGAACCTGACCCAGGGCTGGGGAAGATTGGCCAGAGCAGGTCTTCTACGCCAATTTAAGGAGTTGAAAATGGAAAGTGGTTATCATCAGACTGGAACTATAGAAAACAATTTGGCTGCAGAGAAAACACGGCACTGAGTGCCCTGAAGCGAGTTCAGTCAACGAGGCCAAATGCAATCCAAGACAGAGGAGGAGGAGGTTTTACCTAGGGGAGTGGCAATAAGAACGGAGACCAGGGGCGTTATCAGAAACAGAAGAGTCAGGACTGTGGAACCGTCCAGATGCCGGGGTGGAGGGAGGAGGGAGCCAGGTGGACTCCTGTGCTTTTTGATTTTGGCCTGGGAACCCAGGAGGATGGATGCTGGTATCAGTCACTGAACCAAAGGGTACAGTAAGAGCAGGCAGTGGGAGGTCAGGGGAGGACAAAAGGTAAGTCCCGCTTTGGACCTGGGAGACAGGCAAGTGGAGACATCAGCACTGGACAGAAGGTCCTGGAGATGAAAAATCTGGAAGGTCACCGCCCTCAGAGAACCAGGAAGAAAAGCCCACTTAATAATGGAGCATGCAAGATCTGCCAGCAAACGACAGTGCAAGGAGGAAAACCAGAGCATGCGGGGTCAAGGAAGCTGAGGGGTGTGTCTGGTCCCGGAAAATAGGGACTGGAGTGGCTGTAATGATCCCATCTCCCGTCCACTGAACAGGCATGACCCCCAGGAGAGGCGATCTTCCAGCTCCTCCATGCTTGTGCGTGAGGCCTCTCAGCTTGGACAGTGACAGCTACAGTGCCAAGCGGGAGGAGGGCAGGGACACTGGAAACACAGGAGGAAGCAAATCAAGCCAACAAAACATCACACCTGAACACCAACAAACAGCTGCCAAGACAGAGCTGACCAAGCCCCACATGGCACACAGGAAATGCCTAGACAAATGGTGCCACTAACCCTTGGCTCCCTCCACAGGTTCGTGCTGTGGCACCCAGACCTCTCACTGCCTCAGGCACTCAGCCAGACATGCAACAGAGGCATTTGTATGTATTCTTTGTACTAGCCCTTTGGGGAAGTGTCAGCATCTCCAAATGGCCTTGCCTAGCAAAATGTGCCTGGGTTATACAAGGTGTTCAATATACAGGCACTGAATTACCTGATTGGACCAATAAAGACACAGCCTCAGAGAGAACCCAGCAAGGGTCATCCACTTCACAAGTGCTGGATTCAGGATTCAGCCTCTCAAGTTCAGCTGGCAACTCGGCAGCACCTCAGAGCAAACAAGGGACCCAATCTCCCACCTCCTGCCAGCCCCCAGCTGTGAGTTACAGTTCTTCTCTCCTCAATATGCTCATTACCCTCAAGGATCCCTGGAGCCCCTCCCTATTCCCCAAGAAATCTCACTAGAATAGGGGTCATAACCTAGACCCACAGATAAGATTTGAGGATGGCCATAAATCCCCTTAAAACTCTACATGTGAGCTGGGGGCGGTGGCTCACACCTGTAATCCCAGCACTTTGAAGGGCCGAGGCAGGCGAATCACGAAGTCAGGAGTTCAAGACCAGCCTGGCCAACATGGTGAAACCCCATCTCTACTCAAAAATACAAAAATTAGCTGGGTGTGATGGCGAGCACCTGTAATCCAGCTGCTTGGGAGGCTGAGGCAGGAGAATCGCTTGAACCAGGAGTTGGAGGTTGCAGTTGCTGCATCGAACCTGAGCACAGAAAGCCAACACCAGAACAAAAGTAAGCCAAATTGCAGGGTTTATTGCCGGCAACCACGGAGGACTCACGTCTCTCCAACCCGTGGCCCCGAAAGAAGGGAGACAAGACCTTTTTACACCCACTAAACTACTTTTGGGAGCGGGGAGGGGAAGGAGCAGAGATGAAAGAAAACCTTCATCCCACCGAGATATCTCGGTGGGCTGTAAATCACCTCCTGGGTAGGAGAGGAGGGTGATGGGTTCCGGACATTCCTAGGGCCAGGGGAGAGATTTGCAGAACTCAAGATAACCATTTGCTCACACATCGTCTGGGTGGGAGTTACTTGGCGCCAGGTTGGAATTATTCGGGGGTGCTTACTCTTGGCCATTACTGAGGATCAAAGGCCAGCAATTCTGGGAGTTATGGAGAAGCTACGCAGCTTTACCTTTTTGCAAAGTAATGTAGCAGTTTGCAGAAACCAAGGTCAGCAGTCCTTGTGAGGAGAATGGAAACAGTTTTGTCCTTTCTAAGATGGCAGTGTACAGGTTCTAAGTCTAGGCTAGCTATATCTCACAGTAAGCCCAGATTGCACCACTTCACTCCAGCCTGGTGACAGAGCAAGACTCTGTCTCCAAAAAAGAAAAAAAAAAAAAAAAAAAACCACAATGCTACATGCATTTTTCCTGGGAAAAGGAACCATAGCACTTTTCAGATTTCATTTTCTTATTCTCTAGAATCACTACCTAGGCCTAAAGAGAGGAGAGGATGTGATCTGCCCTTTACCCCCATACATGGCACAGTGCTAACACTCACAGGTGCTCGACAAAGGCTGGCTGGATGCTGAATGTCCCAAAGGATAAATGGTTAGGGAGAAATAGGCACTTCCTGACCACCCTATCCCTTTCAGAAGGAAAAGAGTGGCCCTTAGAAAGTGAGTCCCTGGAGGTAAGGACTGGGGGATTCCAACACTTCTTTGTGGCGTGATCTCAGCTAGCTGCAACCTCCACCTCCCGAGCTCAAGCCATCCTCCCACCTCAGCCTCCCAAGTAGCTGGGACTATAGGTGTGCACCACCACAGCCACCTAATTTTTGTATTCAGTAGAGATGAGGTTTCACCATGTTGGTCTGGTCTCAAATTCCTGTACTCAAGTGATCCACCCACCTCAACCTCCCAAAGTGCTGGAATTACAAGCATGAGCCACAGCGCCCCCAACACTTTTTTTAAGAAACAGTCTTAGACTGGGGCGAGGTGCTCAAGCCTGTAATCCCAGCACTTTGGGAGGCCGAGGCGGGTGGATCACGAGGTCAAGAGATCGAGACCATCCTGGTGAACATGGTGAAACCCCGTCTCTATTAAAAATACAAAAAAATTAGCTGGACATGGTGGCGTGTACCTGTAATCCCAGCTACTCAGGATGCTGAGGGAGGAGAATTGCCTGAACCCAGGAGGCGGAGGTTGCGGTGAGCCGAGATCGCGCCATTGCACTCCAGCCTGGGTAACAAGAGCGAAACTCTGTCTCAAAAAAAAAAAAAAGAGAGAGAGAAACAGTCTTGCTCCATCCCCTCCATCCCCCAGGCTGTAGTGCAGTGACACCATCAAGGCTCACTGCAGCCTTGACCTCCTGGGCTCAAGTGATCCTCCCACCTCAGCCTTCCAAAGTGCTGGCACCACAGGCATGAGCCACCATGTCCAGCCCTCACACATTTTTTGTGCCGTTGTGAACACAGAGCTCACTGTTCTGAAAATTTAAACTTAAAACTCATTTGCTCAAAACCTGGAGACAATCAGAAAAAATTTTAGTAAGGCCTACATTTTATCTCAATAATGGCCAGGTTGTTTTTTAAAAAGGCCTAAATGGCCGGGCGCGGTGGCTCACGCCTGTAATCCCAGCACTTTGGGAGGCCGAGGCGGGTGGATCACGAGGTCAAGAGATCGAGACCATCCTGGTCAACATGGTGAAACCCCGTCTCTACGAAAAATACAAAAAATTAGCTGGGCATGGTGGCACGTGCCTGTAATCCCAGCTACTCGGGAGGCTGAGGCAGGAGAATTGCCTGAACCCAGGAGGCGGAGGTTGGGGTGAGCCGAGATCGCGCCATTGCACTCCAGCCTGGGTAACAAGAGCGAAACTCCGTCTCAAAAAAAAAATAAATAAAATAAAAATTAAAAAATAAAAAAGGCCTAAACTTTAAGTGATACTAAAGAACTACTAATGTTGTTAGGTATGATACTTTTTTGTTTGAGACAAGACAGGGTCTCACTCTGTCACCCAGGCTGGGTGCAGTAGTATCATCTTGGCTCATTACAACCTCGACTTCCTGAGCTCAAAGTATCCTCTTGCTTCTGCCTCCCAAGTCACTGGGACTACAAGCGACCACCACCACACGCCCGGCCTATTTTTTCTTTCTTTCTTTTAATACAGAGGCACGCTCTGCTGCGAAGGCTGGGGTGCTGTGGCCCGATCTCCGCTCACCGCAATCTCCGTCTCCCAGTTTCAAGCAGCCGCCAGCGCTCGGGAGAGGTCGCGGGAGCTGGGCCGAACCCAAGGCCAGCACCAGACCCACAAGCGCTTGGGGGCGGCGCACCCGCAGGCAGGGCTCCCGGCGCGGGTCCCAGTCTCCACGTGAAGCTGAAAATCACCGCCCAAACGTCCTCAGGGTGGAAATCGGAGGGCGAGCAGGGAAAACAGGGACTCCGAAACCGCCGGGGCTCACGAGCAGCCTGGCCGGGGCCGTCCTGACCAGCGCTCTCCCGCGGGGGCAGCGTTTCCGAGGCCGCCGGTGAATCCGGGGAGGCAAGAGCGAGATGCACTCGGGCGCGACGACGGTCCAGGCCGTTCCCAGGTGGCCAGGAATAACAGCCCGGCCGCTCCTCCTTCCCCGCGGCTCCCCGCCCCACCTGAGTGGCGAGCGGCTTGGCCCGAACCCAGGCGTCCTCACCTGAGTGGGGCCCACAGCATAGCCCCTGCGGGAGCGGCTGCCCGGCAGCCCAGGAGCCGCGCGCGCCGGCCGCCAGTAAAGCCTGCGCGCTGCGCCGAGCGCAGCCACACAACCCCACGCAGCCATCCGGCGGTCGCCGCGTGCACGTGCACAGCGAGGGCCGCCCGCCCGCGAGACCGCCCGCCGCGCAGCCAATCAGCGGCCGGCACGCGCGGCATCTCGGGAGTTGTAGTCCGGTAAGCGCGCGGAGCCCGACGGGCGCCAGCGGAACTCGACCCCCGCGCCAGCGGAACTCGACCCCTGCCCCGAAGGGTCTCCGTTGCAGCGAAGAAGTGCGGGGCCCCGCCGCCTCGTGGACAGAGATCGCGGTGAGCGGGCCGCGGCGCAGGGTGGGCACGGCCCGGGCGGCGGCGCCTGCGCAGTCTCCCCGCGCCTGCGGATCCCGGGAACATGCGCGGCAGGCCCCAGACCGGCCTCGCTCAGTTCACGGACTGTCTAGGCCGGGGTCTCAAACTTGACAACAGGGCGCGGTCGCTGGGGCCGACCCTTAGTGATGTTCAGGTCCTCTGAGCCCCTGTCAGTCAAGGGACGCCCGTCGCGCGCCAACTGTTTAGTCTGTTATTGTTTCTGTAAACCCCCTGACGCCCACCCAGCTCCTGGGAGACCGCACACGTGAGTCCGCCCCTGCGCGCCCTGGGGAGAGGTAGAGGCAGGACTGTAGTGCAAGGTAGAAAATAACTGCCCCAGGCCGGGCGCAGTGGCGCACACCTGTAATCCCACCGCTTTGGGAGGCCGAGGCGGGTGGATCACCTCAGACGTCAGGAGTTCAAGACCAGCCTGACCAACATGGTGAAACCCCCGCCTCTAGTAAATACAAAAAAAAAAAAAAAAAAAAAGGAAGAAAGAGATTAGTCCGGTGCGGTGGCACACACCTGTAATCCCAGCTACTCAGGAGGCTGAGGCAGGAGAATCGCTGGAACCCAGGTGGCGGGCGTTGCAGGGAGCCCAGATCGTACCATTGCACTCCAGTCCAGCCTGGGCAACAAGAGTGAAACTGTGTCTAAAAAAGAAAGAAAGAAAATAACTGCTCCAGAAAGAGCCAGATGACTAAGTCAGCAAACACCTATGAAACAGCTGAGGCCGCTGTGCGGCTCCCAGGGTGAATGAGCAAAGAATGGGCTTCGGTCACTGAGAGCAGATAGCATGCAGACTCCGTCCGTGGAGGCCCTTAGCAGAGCTGCATGTAGTAGTCCCCCGGTGACGAGGGGAGATTGTGCTGGAGGAAAGAGAAGTCTCCGTTCCCACCGTTTGAAATGTGTAGGATGCTCTCTTCAGAGTCTTTGGCCTGTTGATAGATACAGCTGTGCTAAAAACACAGGAGCCTACGACGCATTTAGGACTAGCAGAGAGGGAGTTGAACGTAGGGACAGAGACTACTAACTCGCAGGTTAGCAGGCCGGGGTGCGGTGGCTCACCTCTGGAATCCCAGCACTTTGGAAGGTCAAGCCAGGTGGATCATCTGAGGTCAGGAGAACAAGTCTGGTGGTGAAACCCCATCTCTACTAAAAATACGAAAATTAGCCAGGCATAGTGTTGTGCACCTGGAATTGCAGCTACTCAGGAGGCTATGGCAGAAGAATCACTTGAAGTGGGGGCGCCTCAAGGTTGCAGTGAGCTGAGACTGCGCCCCGCCTTGACTGACTTTTTATAAAGAACATGGGGCCGGGCATGGTGGTTCATGCTTGTAATCCTAGCACTTTGGGAGGCCAAGGCAGGTGGATCACCTGAGATCAGGAGTTCAAGACCAGCCTGGCCAATATGGTGAAACCCCGTCTCTACTAAAAATACAAAAAACTAGCCGGGCCCAGTGGCAGAGCTACTCAGGGGGCTGAGGCAGGAGAATTGCTTGAACGAGAGGCAGAGGTTGCAGTGAGCCAAGATCACCTCACTGCACTCCAGCCTGGGTGAGACAGGGAGACTCTGTCAAAAAAAAAAAAAAAAAAAAAAAAAACCATGGGACTGGCTGGGCGCGGTGGCTCACACCTGTAATCCCAGCATTTTGGAGGCCGAGGTGGGTGGATCACAAGGTCAGGAGTTCGAGACCAGCTTGGCCAACATGGTGAAACCCCGTCTCTACTAAAAATACAAAAATTAGCCAGGTGTGGTGGTGGGTGTCTGTAATCCCAGCTACTCAGGAGGCTGAGGCAGGAGAATCACTTGAAGCTGGGAGGCAGAGGTTGCAGTGAGCTGAGATTGCACCATTGCACTCCAGCCTGGGTAACAAGAGCGAAACTCCGTCTCAAAAAAAAAAAAAAACAAACAAACAAAAAAATAGCAGGGCGCCGTGGCTCACGCCTGTAATCCTAGCACTTTGGGAGGCCAAGGTGGGTGGATCACCTGAGGTCAGGAGTTCAAGACCAGCCTGGCCATCATGGTGAAACCCCATCTTTTTTTTTTAAAAAAAAGAGAGAAACTCAGGCTCTGTGGCTGACGGTGTGGGCAGACCCCCTGCCCTGCTGTTACTTAACCCACCTTTTTTTTTTTTTTTTTTTTTTAAAGATGGGGTTTCACCATGATGGCCAGGCTGGTCTTGAACTCCTGACCTCAGGTGATCCACCCACCTTGGCCTCCCAAAGTGCTAGGATTACAGGGGTGA